AGAAATGGGTGTTTTCAGTGTGCTAAGTATGGCAGCCATGACTATTTAGTCCTTGAGTTAGAAGTTGATTTTACCTTTTTTGCTCCTTCCAGATAAGTCTTTTTCTTTTTTCCTTTTTTTTTTTTTCTTTTGTAAGAGACAGGGTCTTGCTCTGTTGCCTAGGCTGGAGTGCAAGGGTGTAATCATAGCTCATTGTAACCTCAAACTCCTGTGCTCAATTGGTCCTGTCACCTTGGCTTCCCAAATAGTTAGGACTATAGGCACACACCACCACACCCAGCTAATTTGCAAATATTTTTGTAGAGGCAGGGTCTTGCTGTGTTGCCTAGGCTGGTCTCAAACTCCTGGGTTTAAGTGATCCTCCCTCCTCGACCTCCCAAAGTGCTGGGAGTATAGGTGTGAGCCACTACACGCAACCCCTTATAAGTCTTAAACCAGCTTCAACGCCTTTGAGTAAGAATTTTTTTTTTTTTTCAGGGAGAGAAACTTCTGTAAGTAAAATTAATATATGCCTGTATGATTGTTTTATATTTATAAATTGAAACATTTTTTAATCTCAACATAAAATATTGATGGTTTCACCATATCAGATATTATATAAAATTGTATTTATAAAATGAAGATTATATATGTGAAAGAGTATATTTAAAAGAATCAACATTAGACTTTGAGTTTTGTATTTGGCATACACAGAATGTTGAAAAACATAGTTGAAATCAGTGAGATGGCAGCATTATTTTCTAACATTATTTTTGAACAGAATACATTCCTTTGCCTTTTAGATCAATAATGTCTGGCCATACATCCAACAAGTAAATTAGGAACTTAAATTCCTACAAAGAAGTAATATTCATTAGCTGAATTTTGGAAGATAGTATGCAATGCAGGCTTTTATCCTGGAAAGACTTCCTCCAAAGGAACTTCACAGAGTGGCATTTTTGGTGAATTACCATTGATCAGGGTCCATTTTTCAACATCAAAGATGTAGAAAAAAGATGCATAGATGGAGCAGACCTTTAGGGACAAAGTAGGAATGATAAAATTGACCCACAACAAATGATAAAATTTGGTTTACTGAGATGTAAACCAAAATGCTTATTTGTTTACCGAAGGGACTATGTCTTTATATTGATTGAAGTGCTAGGTCCCTCCTTTCTGAGAATTGAATAGTCCAGACAAACAGATTGATAGTTAAATGATAATTTATGAACATAAAAATAGAGCCAGGGAAAGTGTATTATTTTGAGGATTGCCTTAGCCATGGTCCTAATGAGACCTCATGAACGAACTGTCTTCCACCAGAGAAATCCCTCAGAATGCTTTTGGGTGTCGTCAGTCTTTTGGTTATATTTCCTGGAAGTATACTGACTGTGGTAAGGAGAGAGCTGTAATGCCTCTCCTTTACAAACCAGGAGAAGGGTGTTTGAGCAGAGGGAATGTGGAAGAGGAGAATGGTAATGAAATACTTGGCACAGGAGCCCTTTCAGGTAGATCAGTTTAGTAAAGAATGCATTTATCTCAAGTTGAAGAGCTGGAAATTGAGTCACTTAAAATGATCGATACCTCCATATCCTTTTAAAGGTGTTTGTATATCCTAGAGCCTACATATATACATTCCTTAGTTTGAGGAATTAATGACATTTGTTTGTATCTTTGTAGATACTGGCTTACTTTCTTTGAATTTTCATTCATGCAATAAATACTTATTCAGTTGCCTACTAAAATACTTTGTTTTGTATCTGATTTCCAGTTGCTTCATAAATATAAGAATTGAATTGAATATTTGTTGAACGTGCCTGTTAAATAGATTTCCAAGCTAGTTTCTTCCATAATTTTTGTAGTTAAATGGACTTTATGTGTCTTGCCATGAGACCTTTTTGAAATATTCTTTTGGTAAGAAGATGCCATCTGAGTAGAAATTAGTACAGATAACATTTTTAGAAATGAGCGAGGATTTTCCTGTGATTGGGTGAAAAAGATCACCATGTTTAAACACTATTCATCTTTCCCATAAAGTGTGCTCTTATGTTTCAAAAGAATTTCAGAGAAAACCAGTGATTATTCCTTCAGGTATATTAAATATATTTTCTGTCAATTTCAGAAAAAAATGTAATAATCTAAAGAAGAGACTTTCTGTTTTGTGCTAGAGATTACATGGGACATCCCTTAGGGTAGGATCATAAAGATAACTCACAGTCATCTATAGGTAATTAAATATGATAATTTTTAGATGCACATTCAACAAAGAGGGAAAAAGATAACTGAGTAAAATATCAAGAAAGGAAAATAAAGATGTGAAAAGACATTTGTTTATTAAAGGCTCTACGGTATTTCATAATGGTTGGATTCATTTGCACATTATTTCAGATAAGCATGGATACAGTGGGTAACATAGACTATGGAAGGCTGTATTGAGCTCTTAGAGAACTGTAGAGAGAGAAAGTTTAATTTATACATTGTACATAATTTTGTTAGGGGTGGAAATAAGGAATGATGTTGCTTCAGCTGTTTCATTTTGGCCACTAGGTGGTGACATTGTATAAAGACAGCTTGGTTGTGGAGGGTAAGATAAAATTTGGTGTAGGGCTGGATATCTATAATTTTTTAATCATCATTCAGCCTTGTGACACATTTTTGGTGATTTTATTGGACTTCTCTTTTTAATATTATATGTGTACACTATCCTGAAGTATTTTGTTGATATCTCTGTGCCTAGTATATTTAGTGATGATAAACTATATATGATAAACAGATACTTAGATAAACAAATGCCACCTGCCCTCCAAAGAATTCACATAGCAAAACAAACTAATTGGTATATTTGATGTGTCTAAGAAACACATTTAAGATATATTAAATGAAATAATGAAATAGAAATTTATATGTGTTTATACTGTGGGTTTTTTTTTTTTTTTTTTTTTTGAGTTGGAGTCTTGCTCTGTCACTGGGCTGAAGTGCAGTGTCACGATTTTGGCTCTGGTTCCTGGTTTCAAGCAATTCACCTTCCTCAGCCTCTCAAGTAGCTGGGATTACAGGCGCTTGCCACCACTCCCAGCTAACTCTTAGTAGAGTCAGTGTTTCACCATGTTGGCCAGGATGGTCTCGATCTCCTGACCTCATGATCCACCTGCCTCGGCCTCCCAAAGTGTGGAGATTACAGGCGTGAACCACTGTGCCTCGCCTGTGTTTGCATTTTTTTTTTTTTTTACTGCTTATAGCATAGGTTATACATGCACATTTGGAAGTTGGACTCAGGAAGCGGGGCCACTCCAAAAGTCTTTTCATCTGTGAATAACCCTTATATATTACTGTGTATGGGTAACCCTCATGTCAAGGATCCTTCTGTGCCCTACCACCAACTTCCCATTATTTTCTAATTCAAAAACAATTGGTGACTAGCATTGTAGTATTGCTATGACTTAAAAAGACACAGTCCTTTCTGTAATGGTTGAAGTTGGTGCCTCTTGAATTAGTGGGTTCTCTGTTACTGGATTAGAGGAAAGTAGGTCCCTATTATCCTTAAATTGAATCTCTGAAGGTATTCTTTCATAGACATGGTGTTTTTAATGGTGGTTAAATATGGCTAAAGTGATATTATATGCAGCCCTACTTCTTATTTTCTTTACAGAATAAGTGATTGAAAAAGCATTTTCTCTTCTGTACAACAGGACCTTTTCAAGTGACCATATACTCCTATTAAACATGATTTCTTACTTAAAACCTACCTCATTTTCTCTAGCATGAAGCAAGTTGTTTCTGCTCTGTTCTCTTATAGTCCTTTCTAAGGATCCAACTTTTACCTTACATTAACCATGTGTAAATTTTTGTTGTCCCAACTATACTGTTTGTGTCTTAAAGGCAAACTTTCTGGCTTAGCCTGGTATATGTTATCAACAAATTCTTGTCCAATGCTTTATATGCAGTAGGTGCTCAATAAAATACTTCAGCTGCTTAAGGAACACTTAGATGGCTGATGCCAAAGTAGTGTGTTTTAAGATAATTAGCTATGACTGGAAATAACTTTCTGTATGACACAAGATGTTTAGATTGGCTTTTAAGATAGAAGAACTCTATGGCCAGGTGTTTTGCTTTCTGATGAATGGATGCTATGGCATTGCAGTTTATAAAACACATTAGTTTGATTTTTGGAACTCAAAATGCATTCCTTTATACTTTATAAAATTCAGTCCACATATGGGGCAGTTTTGTTGTTAATATTCTAAATTAGTGATCTTTATGGGAGTCACTGATTCTTTTAAGAATCTGATTGAAACAATTCTACCCCCAATGCATGCAACACCCAGAAAAATACACATGCCTTACAAAGATAATTCTGTACATTATTTAGAGAGTTCATAGATTTCATGTTAAGAACTTCTGCTTCAGGTTTTGGAATAGACTGCAGCTGATTAGTCAAAAGGCAGCATAATATAATAGAAAAATGTACTATATACAAAATCAGTTGATCTCAGTGAGTTCTAGCTCTTATTCTACCTTTGATAAATGTAGTACCATTTGGCAGGTCATTTAACCTCTCCTTTTTGCCTGTTTCTTCATTTGTAAGTGAAATTGTTGGATGAAAGATTAAGTGAATTAGCACATGCAATATACTTAAAAGAGTGCTGGGTGTGCTTCCCAGCTTTTCCTTCTAGTCTTTGATTCTACTATCTTATAAAGGATTTCTGAATTTTTAATGCCCCTCCCCCTCATCGTCCAATTAATTTTCTTTCCTTTAAGAAAATTACTTTCATATATTTTTTTTTTAAAACTTGAGTAACAATTAATTCTCTTATCCTGTAAGGCAAGTAGGAAACTAAGAACTTTAGCCTTTTCAGGAGTTAGATGTATTACATCTACTGAAAAATTATTACTGTTCATGTAAAATTTTTTTATAAACAGATTCCGTTAACACTATGTCAGCAGCAAACAAATTGTGTTAAAAATATGTAACTTTTATGTATTACCCAGTAAGAAAACAACTTTCTTTTTTTTTATTCTAGGGAAGAAGACAAAAATATATTTGATTACTGCAGGGAAAACAACATTGACCATATAACCAAAGCCATCAAATCCAAAAATGTGGATGTGAATGTGAAAGATGAAGAGGTATGAAAAACATGCCCCGTTAGTTATTTTCCTGTGCATTATTATCCTGTGCATTGTTGTTCTGCCCCAGTGCCTTTTCCTAAATGGTAGGCCAGTGAACTACAACTCGGAAGTACAGTATGGGTAAGAGTCTGTCAGAATATTTAAATCCGATGGTATTAGTTAGTTAAGATACTTTCTTTGATTATGTCCAACATATTTTTTATCTGTGTTTTAGAAGTTACTACCTGAAATTTGTAGGCATCTAATAGCTTCCATTTGTTTATGCTAAAGGGAGAGGTTATTAGCATACTAAGTGAAATCTGTAGGTAATAGGAAAATCTCATTTATAAATAGCTTTCATGTCTTCTGTTATACCTCAAACAGCTAGGTATATTGCTCCATAAATATCTCTCTAGAAAACTGTCAAAATTTTGGTAAATCAATAATTTAAATGCTGACCTACTTATTAAAGGAATCCTATAGTAAATTGCTTTATAAAATGTATTACCTCTTCTTTTTTTTAAAGAGAGACAGGGTCTCACTCTGTAGCCCAGGCTGGAATGCAGTGGTGCACTCATAGCTTACTGCATCCTCAAACTCATGGGCTTACGTAGTCCCCTTGCCTCAGCGTCCCAAGTAGCCAGGACTATAGGCATGTGCCATTACTCCGGGCTAATTTTTTATTTTTTTGTAGAGATGGCCATCAGGTTGGTTTTGGCTCTTTTTTATTTTTGTATGCTATGGCTGTCCAGGTTGGTCTTGACCTCCTGGCCTCAAATGATTCTCCTGCCTTGGCTTCCCAAAGTGTTAGGATTATAGGCATGAGCCACTGTGCCTTGCTTATTACTTCTTAATTTATTTGTGTTTTGAATAATACCATTCACATATTGAGTTTTGACTGACCCCGAATTATAGTTGTTAACAAAGGAGCAAAATTTACTAATTCACTTCTAATCATTTTCTCATTTTTTGGTGATGCAAGGTGGTAATTGTTAGGAAGAAATCATTAAGTAATCACAGATAATCTGTAGAATAGATATTAATCAACTTATATGTAATTCAGAGCTCCCTGTACAGGTTAGCCCTTAATATTTCACCTTTAAGCAATATCTTTCCTGTGATAATATTGTCAATGGCATCTGGAATTGAAAATTTAAGACTATGATACTGCACAAAGGGACTAATAATACTGTGTGTTTTTCACTAAGTAGTGAAACAAACAGAGCTAAAAGATGTGGCTAGAGAAAAACCAGAAGTCAAATTGTGAAAAAATAATACCAGGTCTTCTTACTCTAATTAGGGTTCTTTTTCCTTTTCCTTTTTCTCTTATTTTCTTTTGTTTCTGTTTCTTTTTCTTCTTTTTTTTTTTTTTTTTTTTGGACTTTCAGGGTCAGAATACAAGCATACCTCTGAAATATTGTATATTCAGTTCCAGACCACTGCAATAAAGTGACTATCAAAATAAAGCGAGTCACATGAAATCTTTGGTTTTCCAATGCATATAAAAGTTACACTATACTATAGTCTATTAAGTGTAGAGTAACATTATATCTTTTAAAAAGTACATACCTTAATTTAAAATAGTTTATTAATAAAAAATTCTGACAATCATCTGACTTGCCTTCAGCAAATTATAGTTTTTTTTGCTGGTGAAAGGTCCTGCCTCAGTGTTGATGGCTGCTGACTGATCACAGTCCTGGTCACTGAAGACTGGGGTGGCTGTGGCAATGTCTTAAAATAAGTCAGCAGTGAAGATAGCTACAATGATTAAGTTTTCCTTCATAAAAGATTTCTCTGTACATGCAGTTACCCACTATAGAACTTCTTTCAAAATTGTAGCATTTTACCCACTGTAGAACATCTCTCAGAATTGTAGCCAATCCTTTCAAACCCTGCCACTGCTTTATCACTGAGTTTATGTTATATTTTAAATTTTTTGTTATTTCAACAATGTACACAACAGATTTGCTGGAGTAGAATCTGTATTAAGAAACCACTTTCTTTGCTTACCCATAAGAAGCAACTCCTCATCTGCTCAAGGAACTAGGATTATAGGCAACCACCACCATACCTAGCTAATTTGTTTTGTATTTTTAGTACAGATGGGGTTTCACTATGTTGGTCAGGCTGGTCTTGAACTCCTGACCTTGTGATCTGCCCACCTTGGCCTCCCTAAGTGCTGGGATTACAGGTGTGAGCCACTGTGCCAGGCCCTATCTTTCGAAGCTTGAGGCCAGATATTGACTTCTCTCCAGTTGTGAAAGTCCTGGATGGCATCTTCTTTCAATAGTAAGAGTAGTCTGTTTTCTCTACATTGAAGGTTGTTGTTGAGTGTAGTCACTTTTATCAGTTACTTTAGCTAGGCCTTCTAGATAACTTACTGCAGCTTCTACATCAGCACTTGGTGCTTTACCTTGTACTTTTATGTTATGGAAATGACCTCTTTCCTTTAACCGCCTGAACTAGCCTCTGCTAGCGTCAGACCTTTCTTCTGAAGCTCCCTTACCTTGCTCAACCTTCACAGACTTGAAGAGAACTAGGGCCTTGCCCTGGATCAGGCTTTGGCTTAAGGGAATGTTGTGGCTGGTTGATCTTCAGACCACTCATTTTTTCCACATCAGCAATAAGGCTCTTTTACTTTTTTATCATTTGTCTGCTCACTAGAAGAGCACTTTTAATTAAAAGTGCTCAAGAATTTTTCTCTGGCATCCACAAGTTGGCTTTTTGCACAAGATGCCTAGCTTTTGGACTGATTCTCACTGTCACTCAGGCTGGAGTATAGTGGCATGATCAGGGCTCACCGTAGCCTCTGCCTCCTGGGCTCAAGCGATTCTCCCACCTCAGCCCCTCAAGTAGGTCAGTCCACAGGTGTGTACCACCACGCCTTGCTAATTTTTGTATTTTTAGTAGAGACGGTGTTTCGCCGTGTTGCTCAGACTGGTCGTGAACTCCTGGGCTTAAGTAATCTGCCTGCCTTGGCCTCCCAAAGTGCTAGGATTACAGACATGAGCCGTTGCACCTAGCCAAACTTCCAATTCTTTTAATGTGTCTTTTGCACTTACCTACATAATACTGAATAATATACTTATATTTCTTGATTTTTCAACTTTAGACATTATTGATTTCTTTCTGTGTTATATTTAGATATAACTGTTTTACTCATCTTCTCCCCTCTCTCTCTGACCCTCCTGATATAATTATGTCACAACTTTTAATTTCAGTTTTCTGATCGAATCTCTGTTGAATCAATATTAATATTATTATGACTATGTAAATATGCATTGCTAAGCTGTGGGTTGTACTTGTATCAGTCAGCTTTTGCTGCAGCACAAGCAGCCCCCAAATTTCAGTTGCTTACAGCAACAAACATTTGTGTTTTTGCTTATATCATCGTCTCATGAGATGAGTGACACCATCTCATTTATATATTCTTACAATGCTCTTACTTTGTATTAATTTGATATTTCAAAAGGATTTTGGATCAGTTGAGACAGTCCATATATTTTAGCTGCTTTTATTATTCTTAATAGTATGAGTGAAGACTGATTATAATATAAAGAAATGAATAAGCCACTTTTCAAAGTCATGTTTTTTCACTGGAGGTATCTTGTATGTACAATATGATGCTTGTTAATATTTATCTTTCAAATTACACATACTTCGTACAGTGCATGCAATAGTTTACAGAGTACTCTCACTTACTGCTTTATTATCTTTACAACAATTCTCTAGGGCAGATATTGTCATCATTTTACAGACAGGAACTGAAGTTCAGAGACCAGCATTTACTTGCTCAAATGCATATAACTGCTAAGTAGAAGCCAGGTCTGGGGGAGTGTTCTTCCTATCACTAGATTTTATAAGGGTAAATTAAAAGAAGAAAAAGAAGTATAAGCAGTTGTCCTTTGGCCTTCCTTGTGTTATGCTCTGATTTGCAATAATTTCTTTTATAAAATATTACCGAAAGGCAAAACCACATGTGACCTTCACAAAGATCATTGGATGGACAATAGTGATGGGGTGGAATAAGTGCCTAGAATACAGATAGCTTACACTAAATAACACATATTTTGTGTTTGAAAAGGAAATGTATTGCTTCTGCCGTTTCGTTACTTTGATGTAGTGTTGCTTTCCACATCTTCCAGTTTGTTACCCATGCAGGTACCTTTACCCTCAGCCTGCCAGAACATTGTGTTTCATGAACAGATGAAGTGCTTACACATTCATAGACTGAGACGCCAAGAATTCAGTTGGGTTCTCTCATTGCTCCAAGCAGATTTCTGCCCTCTCAGCCATGACAACTCAGGCTGGGCTTTGAATACTGATGGCAAACCCTTTTATTATTAATCAGGGATTTGTATGAATTAATTTAAGAACATAAGGGAGGTGGGAGCTTAAAATGAAAATCAAACTTAACATCCCAAAATAAATAGTACTGCTTCATCACATTTAAAGTTCTCGCAAATAAAACAATTTGGTAAGCCTTGATGATGGACTAAAAATGTGTATCATTAAAATTCTAGTTAAATATTTTCACCCCTTTTTGTCCTTTTGACATTTTCTTATTATAAGTTGGGTAACAATTATAGTTTTGAAAGGACATTCAGTTCTGTTTTCTATTTATCTGATATTTGAACTAGAGGTATTTCCCTATTGATTCCCTAGGTTTCTCTGAGATAGTATACATTTTTACTGAAAATGTTGATTCAGCAGGCTCAACCTAATTTTATGACTGAAAATCACATTTATTGCATTTAAAATTTGCTGTGAGCACATAAAGAAATTTAGTTATAATAAAATGATAAGCTACATTTGTATTCCCACACATTGAAATAAATACATATATTAACTGATAACTATGAATTTATAAGTTATAAATTGTTACATTATCTGAAATACATACGTTTGGATCTAAGTATTGTAGTATATGAACAAATATATATGAAGTGCCTTTTAAATAAAATGTATTTCATAATGAAGTTCTTTTCTTGTGCATTAGTGTAATTCCTAGTGTACCT